AAATAAAATACAGCAAATAAGACAAAACTTCAGGGAGAAAAACAAATACTAATATCATTAATAAGTAAAGAAAAGAGTAAAAGCCCCAGATATGATCTCTGCGGTATCCCTATTTGAAGCAGAATTATTTATTTTTACACATTGTTACTTATTTGTTACATAAGACTTTGTCCATCTTAGTAGATTGCCGTGCATATCGAAATTTTCTAGTTTATCAAAGTTTGATGATGAATTTTATCAAAAGCTTTAGAAAAATCAGTATACACGGCATCTATTTCATGTTTTGTGATATTGTTGACTCAGTTTTCATTTGGCAGTTGATTAGTAAATGGACGTTAGTTATCATGTGCTTTGGTTGATTACTCTGTATTATCGGTGATTTTTTGGTTAATATTTTGTTATACAGTGCAACCTCTTTAATCCGAACACACGTTAATCCGATCACACGCTAATCCGAACGGTCAAATCGAACGATGACAAGAAAAAACCAGATCGCTTCGCGCGTACGTGCGTAGTCGGCAGTCGTTCGCGCCTGTCCGCCCAATGTCAATTTGTTTGCCGATAGCGAAGAACCTGTTGCCTGTCGTGTTTTGTGTAACAATTTTGGAGTTTTTTTGGAAGAAAAATAAAAAATGTAAAAAGCGTAAAATAATACATGTATATATATGTAACTACATGTTTATGTTTTAACTTATATAAGTTTTATATGTCTTATATGATCTGTATTCATATTGTTATAATAAAATGTTACATAATATACATATGTACAAATCTTTATAGTATGTTCGATAATTCGAACGTTTCGATACTACGAACAATGCCTGGCAATGTGGTGTTCGGATTAAAGAGGTTGCACTGTATTATGTTTACAATATACGAACATTACACATATTATTAATTTATGGAAAAACAAAATGAAATCGTTATGAAGCAAATAATGTATTTATCATCCAGAGTTTACAAAATGCTATAGGTCATGATATTGTGATGATTGTTTGACAAGAATGTGATATTTACATGACGGAGCTCTTGTTCTTATTTGTCATCAATAATTACAAGTATATTTGAAGAACATTGGATTGGAAGGAATCGACTACATGGTCATCCTGCTCAGTTACCGGATTTGAATCCTTTACACTTTTATTTGTAAAGTTATATGAAAATGTTAGTGTATTCCAGTGAAATTGATCACGAACAGCAATTTCCACTGTTCAAGAAACAATTTTGTAGCATGTATGAGAAGTTGGATACTAGAATATGGTGGCGGATATTTTCACCACTTATTACCGCAGTTGCAAAATCAAAGAGAAACATGTTAAGCGTAGACAAATTTAGGACCGATGTCGCATAAGACTTGTGTATATTTTCTGATATTCTGTTACATACTACAGTTATACCAGGGATTATTCAAACTAGTTGTGATAACATTATTATCTTGAAATCCGAGAGAACAGAACAAAGCTGTGTAATTTAATCAACAAATATTTCTCCGAAAGGAATCAGAAAATCTTAATTAATTTGAGGAATTACCGAGCTGTTAATTTAATATAATTAATTGAATTATCAAATATTACTCTGATTGTAATTAAATGTAAAACAGTTATTAAAAGTAAGTATAAAAGAAAATACATAATAAATAAGTAAACCAATGTAATATCTGAAGTTTTCTCGCAGATGTTGTAAATACCTATGTTAATTAATTTGGACGAAGAATACTTCTGCCTAAATTTCCTAAAGCTTTCAAGATGTCAGTATATTTTCAATATATCACAGTTTTTATAAGAAAGTTTAGTACCTAATTAATGTACGAAGACGGCTATGGTTTATTTAGAGGCAAATTTTCTCAGAAGGCGTAAAAAAAGAGCCTTATCAAAAATGTAAAAGCAATTTTTCAACTTCAATGTGTACGGTGTAAAAGCTACTAAATCCTAGTCTCATAGAAATTACATGACTTTTTGTATGCATGTTTGAAATGTTTAAATTGAGATTATTTATTAATTTCCGTTACTATCTTATGTTATCTGGCAAATTAATCAAGAAGCTCGTTCGTGAACGATATTTCATTACTGTTATGTTGACTGTAGCTTCCTCCAATTGTTCCTTTTCTCATTCAGTTCGTCCAACGTATTTACTTCTCTTCTCTACGGGACGTCATCTTGAGGTCTCTCGTCTAATTAAATGAAATTTTAATCTCTCTCTTTTTTCTTCCCCATTTGTGTGTAGTTCCTAGATCCTGGGATGAGGTTTCTATTGTATTGTTGGAGTTAAACTTAATATTCTGTGTTAGAAAGGTCAGCTGCGTATCTTCGGTTTTTTGTCTTACTTTACTTCCCTGGGGTTAACTTTTTGTGCGAGAATAAAGGTCATATTTACTTTTTCTATTTAACAATGTCGACTGGAATAACTTTACTTTTAGGTTACGTACAGAAGTGAATAAAAAACGTTTTATCCTCATCATGTACTTTCTGGGGTGTGTTAAATATACTCGCTAGATCACCATTAATACAGAAACTATTAACTCGTGCCTAAATTAGAATTTTTTTGCAAAATTTCTTATTGATTTCAAATACGAGTATTTTTTTAAACATATTTACTCCACTACTTTATTTTGTCTACTGGTAAAAAGTTAAAATCGTTACGAGTTCACTTAAAGCTGAGGCACAACAATTATACAGGATGTTATATAAGTCTATATATAAGTCTATGTTATAACTTCAGGGAATTGCCCTTTGAATAATTTTGTTATAATACTGTAATAACACAGACCGACAAACTCACTTTTGGATTTTTTGAATTTTTGGGAGGAATTGCGTGTGTGTGGAGGAATATCCATACGTCGGACAATATTATTTTTTTCATCTTCGGATTCAACGGAAAATATTATCAAAGATAGATGGGTTAGATGGCTAGTTTGGATTTTTTTAATTTTTGGGGGCGTCTAGGGGAGAATCAATACCTAAGAAATTTTTCTTTTTATCATTTTCGTATTCAGAGGAAAAATTTACTAAATATAGGTGGGTTGGATGGCTAGTTTGTATTTTTTTTATTGTAATTTTTGAAGGGAATTGAGAGTATGGGAGGGGGGGGGGGGGGGG